TGCATCAATTATAGAACGATTAGAAGTAGTCATACCATTATAAAAAGTCTGCACTTGGAGCCAAACAGGTAAACCATGATTTGGACATTGCCTAAGCAATTCCTTAAATCTTTCCCATGCCTCATATAATGACTCATTATCAAATTGAACAAAAGTAGTAATGTCATTTCTCAACTTAGCTGTTTTTGAAGGAGGAAAAAATTTAGCTATGAATTTATCTACCAAAACATTCCATATGGTAAAATGGCCTACAGGAAAAGATTGAAGCCAACTCTTGGCTTTATCACGCAAAGAAAATAAAAATAATGTAAGCCTAACAGACTCATTACTAACACCATTAGCCTTAAAAGTATCACAAATTTCAAGAAAACTAGCAATATGCGAATAAGGATTTTCATTAGGCAAACCACTGAATTGGACATTTTGTTGGATCATTTGAATGATAGCTGGTTTGATTTCAAAGTTATTGGCTTGAATCGCTGGCCTCCTAATGCTGGATGCTATTCCCTCAAGGGATGGGGTGGCATATGAACCAAGAGTGCGTGCATTATTTTGTCCTTCAATCTCTAATAATAATAATCAGCACATCAGCACACTAACATGAGTCGAAAAGGGAGACAAATGACCTGTCAAAAGTGTTTCCAAAAAGGACACAATTCAAGAAAATGCAAAGCACAAGGACCCACCACTGTAAGTTTTAATTTTAGAAAACAGTGTACATGACAACCAGGAAATTTAGATATATTTTAACTTGTTGTAGGCCCCACAACCTGAAAATGCCAATGCAAGTGAAGAGCAAGTTCCTGTTGAAGATTCCCAACATCCCACAACAGTCACTGAAAATGATGTAACTTTTTGCAATTTCTTTATTTATTGTTTAAGGATATGCTTGTACAAACTGTTGGACTATTGTGTAATAAACCATGCACCATTTTTTTTTTTTCAGGATTCTCAAATTCCTTTGAGTCAAGTGGTGAACCCAATGCCTGTCAATGATCCAATGTCTGTGCAGAATCAGAATGAAGAGAATACCAATCCAGCAACTGTCCAGCAACAAAAAAATAGAGTTCAGATACCTGCAAAAAGGCAAAACAAGAAGGTTAGTTCCTAAAAAATATTGTTAATGCACACCTTGATTTATCTAAGATCAGAATGATAATTTATGTAAAATTTTTTAGGGCCAAAGGAGTTCAGAATCAACAACTGCGAATCCCCCTGTAGCTGCACCACATGCCACTGTAGAAACTCCGCAGCAACCTAAAAAAAGAGTGAAGACAAGTGCAAAAGAACCACCAAGACATAGGGCAAAAAGTGTTGGTAATAGGTCAAACCAATAAAAAAGGAATTTGTTGCAGTATGTTTGTTTGATTCTGGACTGTTGGTAGTATATTTTGCTTTGTGCTTGTGTTTGGAAAATATGAGACAGTTGATTGGCAAGCTAGTTTTTAGTGTATGCTTGATACTTGACACTGAAAAAGAGAGATTTTTTGTGTGTAAGCATTGCTTGATACTTTGTACTATGTGTATCTAATCTTTGTTTTTTTGGTAATTTATGTGTATCTTGCATGTTTGGTTTTATGCACTTAATGCCCAGCATTTGGAAAATATGCATTGAATTTCCCTAATTTCTAAAATGAATGTTGAACTCACAGGAAAACTCACTGAAAAATATGCCATACACATTTCATCACATTTCTGGAAAATAACACTTTTGGAGATGAGATGAAATTCACAATATATCATTACCATTACCATCTGGTTTCAGTACATAAAACATTCTACATCTCATTCACTTCCTAAGTACAAACAACCCAGCAATCACTGCCATAACAATAAAAAACACCAAGCAGATAAATTGACTAATTATGGCTGCTTGAGAGCTTCTCATCTCTACCTTCTTCACTTTCTTCTCTAGCATCCTTATCTTTCTATCCATTAATCTACTTTGTGTCTTCATGAGTTCATTTTCCTGCAACAATTTGGCATTTTCCTTCATCAAATCTTCCTTTTCCTGCATCAAGTTTCCCTTTTCCAACTTCAGCTCACCATTCTCTTTCTCAATTCTTTCTTTCTCCTTCAGATTTCTGGATTCCCTATCTTTATATATCAGTAGTAAATCCCTAGCTCTTCCCTTGATTCTTTCCTCACCAGGTAAGAAATGGAAATATGGGCATTGACCCTAATACAATCAACTATTAAATCAAACCTTAAATAAACTTAAAACTATGAACAAAAACCCAGAAATTTGCATTTTATCTTACCGTTATCTTCGGACAACAACGAAACCTCATTCCCATATTTTGGTAAGTGAATGCAGTTCGGACAGCAGCAGGTAACCCACACTCGCACCTAAACTCTCCAGATCCGATCAAACCCACACTTCGTGAAGAAAAAATAGCCTCCATAAATCTTGCTGGGGATTATGTTTGGCAAAGAAAGAAGAAGAAAAAGGATTCTAGGGTTTCACAAGTCATGGAAGAAAGAAAGAGAGTTAGCTGTGGGTGGGGAGCCTGACTGAAACTGAGGGAAAAAACAATATAATATAAATCTCATGTGGGCCT